GGTCGATGGCCGGTCGACCTCTCGGTTCTGTGCGTCTAATATCTCTATCCCTATCAACTACTCCCCCCTATTTACGAGTATGCGAGATGAAAATCGCGTAGTCGTAAATATTAATATTCATGTGTCCCGATACCGCTATGCGTTATTTCCTCATGTCGTCTTAACACGAATCTACCGGGTATGCTCCGAATTTATCCGGTGTTAAGCTCGATTGGCTCTATATTGACCAAAAGACTTTGGTTGGTCTCAACATTTGAATATTCCCTTTTTCCCACACCTTCTTCCTACCACAAGACCATGCCTTGCATCATTGCTTTCACCTACCACATCATGTGGCTCTCATTTATCCAACATATTTTTATCCTTTAGCTCTTTCTCTCTCCTCCCTACATATCCCTTCTTCCTTCAAACACTTTCCTCTTTTCACAATTCCTCCATGAAAATCCCCACTCCTTTATTTCAAAAAGCTCTTCTCCCCTTATTTCTCTCTTAAACCTTTGCCTCCATTCACCATTCCACCACTCCTTTGCAAGACTTCCTTCGAGAAGCTTCCGGCACTTCCCTCGGTCGCGTAGCTCTAACGACGGCTCGCCCCTAGGCTCGAGCGGCTTTCTTGGCGTGGACTTTCCATCGGCACTTCCCTCGGTCACATTCCTCCGCCAATTTCGAGAAACTTCCGGCACTTTCTCACCATGGGTAAGCGCTCTCAAGCCCTTTCATTTCTACTACCTTGCTTGTTGTTGTGGTGCTATCTTTCATGGTGTGTACCTTATTGGCCCTAGCTATTCAATTCCTAGGCTAGGTAGCTTGATTTTTCCGGGGTTGGGTCGGGTTTTCTTGTCCACGGGTCCTTATACCACTCGTTTTATCCATTTATGTAGATATTCCTTTCGATCCTCCTTCCGACACCCGTGTTCCTCATTTGATCGATGAGGCCGAGGGAGTATTTACTTGGGACGAGCTTCAACGGTTTGGAGACTCGCGCCCAAATGACCCTTTTGACCTTGATGATGTTCCTTCTATTTCGGACGTGCCCGATTCAATTTCGGGTCATGGCGCGTCTTTGGTTTGTACGGACATGGGTGGCCC